GCGAGACGTGGTCGAGGGGGCAGAAGGGGGGGGGGAGGAGAAAAAGCTGGCGATCGGGGAGGGAGCGGGACAGATGGGTGGCCTGGTGGGTGGTGTGTACGCTAGCGAGGAGGAGGACGAGGGCAGAGGCGAGGGCGAGGAAGGGGCCGAAGGACTTGGTCCAAACGCGTCAACGGCGTCTCCCGGCGTTGTCGGGGAAGAAGGGGAGGCCGGTGCCCGGATTTCTGTCCTCCACGGTGTTTGTCGTGCCTACCTGCGGAGCCAATGTCCCTTGAACGCGACGCGTTGCCGCTACCGGCACGGGCCCCGGAAGGGCTCGGGAGGCTTGTATTGTCGGTTTTATTCGAAGCCAAGGGGTTCCTGTCACCACGGGGAGGCGTGTCAGTTTGTCCACGACCCGGCCTTGAAGGCGGAACTGGAGCAGTGGGTGGGGGAGAGACGGGCGCAGAACCAGGAGGCGCGAGAGGGGGGCGGTGGGGCCGATGAAGGGAGGAGGAAGGAGGGGCGGCGGAAGATGCACCTGGAGGGGCAAAGGAAGGGAGGTGGGGAGTGCGAGAACAGAAAGGCAGGGGGCCCAGGGCGAGAGCCGACCTTGTTGAGACGGCTGTTGGGGCTGGAAGTGAACAGGGAAAGGCGGCTGGTGTTGGCCTCCATCCGGTACTTAGTCCGCGCCTCCTTCTTCCACGCAAAGCCTTCCTCCCTCCCGTCCTCCCTCCCGTCCTCCCTCCCGTCCTCGTCCTCTTCCATGGGACCTTCCCCTCGGACAACGCTGCTGACGGGCGACGCCGGGGAAGGGGAAGAGGGGGAAAGGGAGGGAGGAGGAGTTGAAGAGGAGGGTCGGGAAGGGGAGGATCGAGATTGGGCAGCGGGTGCTGCAGGGGGGACCGAGGATGGGGTGGCGGAGGGAGATTGATGGGAGGGTAAGATGGCGAGGAGTTGGCAGCACTGGCATAACCACCACGTGTGCATGAGGAGTACCGTGGAGACACGATGTGCCGGGCGGTTGCGGGATAGGAATGTGAGGTTTCGGGAGCATGTTACACACAAGTCGGGCCATGCGAGGGTTTCAAAGCACTTGTATACTGAAGGGCTAGCGACAGCGCGTGTTACACAGATCTTGTTTTTTCTTTTAAATGGGACAGAAAACGTATTTCGGGTAGGTCGCTGTCCATGGACCTTATCACGCACGTCTGCAGCGCTGGCATTGACGAGGATTGGTCTCGAGAACGGCTGCTTATTGTGGGAGGCCCCAGCGGGCGCCGAACTCCTCCTTTCATGATCGACCGCATAACTTTTCTTCTCCATCTGGTCGACGTGTGGGCAATCGCACAAGGGAAGGCGGGGTCAATCACGTCGATACATGTGCATTAGTTCCCGGCCTTCCTCTTCTTCCCCCGAAAAGCTCCCCCGCGGCCTCTGCCCGCCGTCTTGCTGCTCTCCTTCTTTTTCATGCCCTGCACCTTCTTGAACACAGGAGCGTGCTTGAGGATCTCTGGTAGCACGATGAATTTGAGATGGCTCCCTCTCAAGTACACTTGTTCCAATTTACGGACTTTGCCGTTCCGTGCGGTGTGTGTGACGTCCGAGAGGTGGACGTTCATTGTGTCTTCAGATTCCATCAACAATCCTCGATAGACCTCCCCGGATTTTAGTTCTGCCGTGACCACATGACCCTCTCCTTCTTTTAGCAGCTTAACTGGCACGCTGAGCGCTGTGTGTAAGGGTAAGTGGAGAAATTGTGGCATGGGAACGGGAGATGGTAGCGTTACGTCGAGGCACGAGATATCAGACCCACCCCTCGTCCTGCCCGCGACATCACAAAAGAGCAAGTTGGTGAAGAATGTAGAGCAAAGTAATTGTGTTACAAGAGACCGACTCTCCTTTAAAAGATGCCCAAGTAAAGTGCAAAGCGGAAACGCAAACAAACCTTTCATGGTGGCCATGCCTACGTTCGCAAGGGAAGAACTGCTCCCTTTGAACCCGCTTCCGTACTTCGATAAGCCCGCAAATCTCTTCTGTGCAGTGGGGTAGCAGTCACAATGGACGTGAGCGATGAAGCCGAGAGAAAAGCGCGGGGGCACGGGTGAAGAGAAAGAGCGTCTGATTGCACGGTGTGGTCGTGTTCGCCACAGTGGTGGTGGAGCTTGTCGTGGAAAGTCCTATTCTATCAGCATTGGCAAGTCTATGGACTGCATCAATGGCGAGGCCCTTCATGAACACTCTGTATGGAAGCCTTCGCGCGTATAAGTGGTCATATCTTATTTGGAAGCGACGTTCTTTTCACACCCTGTGAGTCTGGTTTTACGTGCACTCTTCTTCTCGCGCCATGCCCGACGGCGACAGAGGTCCCGGTGGGTCGTAAGGGAAGATACTACCTGATCGTTGACATTAAAAACACACACGTAGTTGCATACAGTTGGGGTAAATGGAGCGAGAATGATAGTATAAGTGTTGGCAGATCAGTTTTGTCTATTCCGAAGGCAATGGGGAAGAGAGTCAGGTTTTACGGCCCGTCTAAGTGCAACTTTTGCCTTCCACCCCCGGCCATGTTCAATGCCAGACCCCACCACCTACTCCACAGGGTGCACGACACACAAATAAGTAAGGAATAAGCAGCAGGTCGTACGGATAAGTGAGTCATTCTGTGATTCATTCGCTGGCTGTCGACCTGTCATGAAGCGGAGGCTGCGTGGGAGCAGCCAAGATCCTCCTTATGCCTTGTCTCGGAATGCCTCTGCCACCGCAGCCGTCGTGGTGGTGGCCCTCTCATGTTTGTGGAGCACGACCCGGGCGTTCCACATGCCATCAACCTCTAGGCCGTTCTCCCGGTCGCTTCATCGCAGCGTCGCTCGCATCAGACCGCAAGGTTCCAGCCTGATGGCAAAGAGAGATGCACCGGGAGGCGGCGATGTTTTGGTCATTGGAGGGGGCCTGGCGGGCTTGTCGACTGCACTGGAGCTTTCCCAACGCGGAGCCAAGGTAGTGGTCGTGAGTAGGGACGAAGCTGAATCGGCCAGCATGGCAGCGGGGGGCATGCTGGCTCCTCAGGCGGAACGCCTAGAAGCCGGTCCGTACCTGGATTTGTGCTTGCAAAGCCGCGACATGTACAGCGAGTGGGCCGCAGATCTGGAGCAATGGTCGGGTGGGATCTCCACTGGGTTCGCCGCCGCAGGGGGGTTTTTAGCACCTGCCTTCACGGGCGATCAGGTGGATGGTTGGGTGCCCCCCCCGGGGGCAGGGCCGGCCTACCGTTTAGATGGGCCGCAAATCCGAGGCATGGAGCCAGCCTTGTCGCCGCACGTGACCGGGGGCTGGTGGTACCCCGAGGACATGCAAGTGGACGCCCGTCGTCTCTTTCGCGCACTCCGGGAGGCGTGCCTGCGGGCGGGCGTCAGTGTCTTGGAGGGGTCCGAATGGGCGGTGGAGGCCCTGGTCTTCCATCCCGCCTTGCCAGCCGTCCAGGCGGTCAAAATGAGCGACGGGCGCCGGCTTTCGTTCGCACAGGTCGTGGTTGCGAACGGTGCGTGGATGAACCGCCTGTTGCCCGTGCCGGTGGGCCCTGTGAAAGGGCAAATGCTCTCATTGCGCCCGAAAAAGGGCGAACCCAACCCCTTGACCCGGGTCATCTTCGCGGAGAATTGCTACTTGATTCCCAAGGCGGATGGCCGCCTCATCGTAGGCGCCACCGTGGAGGCAGGGCAGTGGGATCGGGGGGTAACGGCGAAGGGTATCCACGACTTGACCCAACGGGCCTTGCAAATCTGCCCGGCGTTGGGGAACTTGGAACTGGAAGAGACATGGGCCGGTCTGCGCCCTACCACCCCCGACACCCTCCCTGTGCTGGGAAGCACGCCCTGGGAGAACCTCTTCGTGGCTGGAGGGTATTGGCGGAACGGCGTCTTGCTGGCGCCCCGTACGGGCCAGCTGGTGGCTGATTGTGTGGAGGGGAAGGTGGGTGCCGACGATGCGGCCCTCCTTTCCCACTTTGCATGGAGCCGGTTTTTGCCTTCCCGAGTCGGAGAAGCCCGGCAAGGAAGCAAAAAGTCAGCTGCGACCGTGGCCGCCGACGCGACAGTGGGGGATAAAAGGAGCGCTGAATCCATGTCTCTTTCGAAGCCGCCTCGTGGAGCGACAAGTCCTGCGGCAGACACCAGCGCCGGGGGACCAACGCCGTCTTCTCCTACCGCCCCCGCAGATACAGTCACTCACCATGACGACCCGTACGTGGACTATGCTCAGTTGAAGGCGGCGGGCAACGTAGAGGACACGGAGGCGATCATTCGGGAGGCGCGGCGGGTGAACCGGGAGGGTCTGGTGGGGTACGGGCTGGGGGAGGACGCGGTGGGGAGGGAGACGGCGAGTAAGTTCAACGTGCCGAGTGCGGGCATGGGCCAGGAATGGTCGGCGTTTGAGGCGGCGGCGGCGCAAGGGATCCAGGATATGGGCCGCTATCAAGACATTGGGGGTGGAGCTTCCTCTCAAAAAGGCAGCGGGAGCACCCTGGAGGCGGAGGAGGAAATGGGCATCGAGGAGTTCATGGCTCGCCTGGGGTACGAGTATGCGGACCCTCGGGTGGCTAAATCGCAGGGCGAGGTCGAGTCGCGCCCCGTCGATGACCCTACGTCTTCTTCCACCGAGTCCAGCTTTCAATCGCTCGCGGCCCCCTCCACATCTGTTGGCAACGCGTTCCCCCGACCTCAGACAATCGCACCCCCTGCGGCCTCGCCCGACGCCTCGCCAAGTCCATTCAACACCATCCAGCCTTTACCACCGCGGGCGGACCAATCGCCCCCACCTTGGGCGCATGAAATCGAGGCTCTCTACGACCGTGTGCGTGCCAATCAAGCGGCGGCCCGGCGTCGGCAAGGCCTACCTCCCCTGCCCGGCGATGCGGATGTGATGCTTCCTTTCATACACCCTCCAGGAGACCAGCCCCTCGACCCGCAGGGACGCCCTCGGCAGTTGACAACCGAAGAGGTGCTGAGCAAGTTGGAGATGGTGCGTGTGAATCCGGACGGGTCTTTCACCAAAGTGGAAGCCGGTCAAGGTTTGCCTGCGCCCTGGGAGCCGCCCACGGCCTCGGCAGTCGTCGGGGGGGGGGGCTTTGAGACCTTGCCCCGCCCCGTGGGCGGGGGGGGGAGCGG